CTACTACTACTACTACTACTACTACTACTACTACTACTACTACTACTACTACTACTACTACTATCACTACCACTACCACTACCACTACCACTACTACGACTACTACTACTACTACTACTACTACTACTACTACTACTACTACTACTACTGATACTACTAGTACTGCTTCTGATTCGACTTCTACGACTACTGCCACTAATACGACTGCTAGGGACCGGTATGACTGGAAGCCAGTGAATTCTCGAAGGCTCCATTATCTCGTTATGTTTCCTCATATTGTTTCCTATCGCTGGTCATCCTGCCTTCAATTGCCTTGCTTGCTGAAAAGAACATGGGGGAGGGAGAGAGCAAGGCATAATCGTGCGCATTCCCCCTTCCCCCTTTTTCTTGCAGTCTCCACACTCATTTCGCCTCATCCTCCTTCGCAAACGATCCTCCATCCTCGTCCTCCATGCAGCAGGAAGCCTTAGCCAAGGACACGTTACCCAAGGACGAGCATTCGTGCGTGATACCTGAAGCCTTCCTGGAATGGCCATTACCAAACGAACCCTTGAGAAGGACTCATCATTCAAAAGGTATCTTGCCTAGGAGATCCCTACCGGAACCAAAAAACTTAGCCAGGAATCTTCACCGAAGGAGCCAGTGCCAATGAATCATCACTGTAACGAAACTGGTGCTGACTAACTCCCGAGTAAAGGAAATGATGGGATCCTTACGAGGGAATCCGCACGACAAGAATCCTCAACGACAAAGCATGTCTACAGGAACCCGTAACAAAGAAATCCTTACGAACCTTCCCTTTCATCAAGCGAATGCTACAAAAACACACTTGCTACAGGAATCCGCACAACTAAAATCCACACCCGACGAGTCCGAACGAAAGGAAGCTTCACTGAAGGAACCTCAACACAACAACCCGAGATACAGGAAACAGGCTCAAGGGGTCCTTACCAAAGATACCCTTTTCAAAGATGATCCTTAGCACAGGAATCGCCACTGATGGGGCATGCGCAACGGACTCAGCAACGTTCACCCAGATGGAACGAGAGAGGGCGGAGAATGAGAAGGACCGCGAGGTGGTTGGCTTTGTCAATCAGGTCGCATGGGATCTACAAACAGCAAGCATGCATGCTCAGCGGCAAGACCAAATAAACTGAGATGTTGCCCTGCGCAAATGGGAGCTACGCGATGTTGCATATGCTATGAGAGCTACGTGGCAGAAGCCATAGTGGGCAAGTTACGTGGTGGACGCTCTGTTGTGTTAGCCATGGGGCGTGAGCAGCGTGGTGCGAACTTGCGGTGTGAGGCATGCAGGAAAAACTACGATATGTAAGCGATGATGTGGAAGGTACGTGAGATATGCGGGGCGGCCTGAGTGGTGCGAGCTATGGTGCTGAAAATGTGTGGCGCAAGCCCTGCCGTGTAACCTGTTGGTGTGAGCTGCGCGGCTAGGTCTAGGTCTACCATGTAAAAAAGATGTGGCGCGGGCTACGTTGTGCAAGCGATGTTGCTTTGCGATGTACGATGTGCGGTGTGAGCCATGTTGTGTTGGCCATCAGGCGCGAGCTCCGCGGTGAACACTACGCGGTGTAAGCTATGGGACAAGCCCGTACGATCCCAACTATGATCCCAACATGATCCCATGATTGCAGATAGCCACATCCCGCGCCCAAATGCCGAAACCAAGCACGCAATCCCTCCCCCGTCCGTTTATTTGACACGCTTCGCCCTCTCGTCCAAGCATTGGGCGGGAGCGTCCGAATAGAGTTCGCCATTTTGCGAAAACGAATGCAAACATCGGGGTAGTATGCGCTGATGTAGATGGTGATGTAGATGCTGACGGAGACTAGGATGCTGACTATAGCGAAGATGATGCTGTATAGTATTAAACTCGAGTGTAGGGCTCTCTTGGCGGGTATGATGTTGACACCTGCCCCTGGGAGATAGAGAGAGAAGGTGGAGGAAAGGGACGTTCCTTCGAACGAGGCTGCTGCTGTTCGTTTGGGGGGGGAATCATGAGGACGCTGTTCCCCATTGAATGTCACTGGCTTTGCCAACAGCGGTCGCAAATCTCCTCCATTCCGTTCCACGAAAGCCGTAACAGTCGCCCGAACGAACAGAAAAAAGAGCACAACAACGTGACACCAGAAACGCACCGCAAAAAAATGTCGGCGACCTGACTTCTCTACAGAGCCCCCCCGCGCGTCTCGCCCCACCCCCCCCCTCCCGCCGCCGAGATCTCCCCAGCATCCCAACAACCTTGACGTTGTTGCTGTTTCCCCCCAACCCTCCTTTGTGTTGGGTCCTCGTTTTGAATTCGCAGCGCCGCGCGTCTCCTTCCCTCCGTCCTGTCTCCTCATTCTCCTTTTCCGCCTTCTCCTCCTTGTGCCTTCCTCCTTCTCCCAACCCTACAGTGTATTGCGTCCTTGTGCCCAACCCTCCTGTGTGTTGGATCATCGTTTCGAAATCGCAGCGCACCGCGTCTCCGTATTTCCCACCTTCCTCCTGTTCTCGTCCTCTTCATACTTGTCGTCGCAATCGTCATCATCATCATCATCATCATCATCATCATCATCATCATCATCATCATCAGCATCATCATCACCATCATGCTCTGCATTATCATCATCTTCAGCATCAGCACCAGCATCATCATCAGCATCAGCATCAGCATCATCATCATCATCATCATCCTCATCATCAGAATCATCATCAGCAGCAGCATCATCATTATAATCAGCCTCATCATTATCACCAGCATCATCGTAAGTAAGGGAATCCTCAACATCACAACGTAAGTAAGCTTCATCAGCATCACCACCACCATCATCATCAGCATCACCACCACCACCATCATCATCAGCAGCAGCATCAGCCTCAGCATAAGCATCATCATCAGCATCGTCAGCATCATCATCACCATCATCACGATCAGCATCATCATCATCACCATCCCCATCACCCATCACCATCATCATCAGCACCACCATCATCATAACTATGATAATCATCACCATCACGACTTACATAATCATCATCATATCATCACCAGTACCATCATCATTAGCATCACCACCACCACCATCAGCAGCAGCAGCATCAGCCTCAGCAACAGCAACAGCATCAGCATCAGCATCATATTTATCATCAGCATCATCATCATCATCACCATCATCATCATTATCAGAAGCAGCATCATCATCGATATCATCAGCATCATCATCATCATCAACATCATCATCAGCATCAGCATCAGCATCATCATCGTTCCGGAGCTCCACCGAAGGCCCCAGTGGTAGCGTTCGCACACCCCTCACACGCTTCGTGGCACCATAGGGAGGCCCACCGAAGGCCCAATTGGCAGCGTCCGGATGATACCTCGGGCCCATTCTAGCACACCCCTCACACGTTCCGTGGCCCCACAGGAGGGTCCACCGAAGGCCCAAGTGGCAGCGTCCGCATGGTTTCTCGGGTCCAGTCTGGCACACCCCTCAAACATTTCGTGGCCCCACACTGCGACTCCATGAAGGCCCCAGTGGTATCGTCCGCTTGCTCAGTCGGGCCCATTCTGGCACACCCCTCACACGTTTCGTGGCCCCACACTGCGAAACCGTCGCCGCTTTCGTGTTCGGTTGGGAGGCTCGGCGGAGCGGCGTGGCGTAACGGTGAGGTTTCCAATGGGTTCCTCTGATCACTTCCCACTCTTGACCACGAGTGAGGCTCGTGTGCCCCTGCTTTTCGGTCTGTGCTATCGCTACCGCCCTGCGAGGTTGCCCCATCGGGGCCCTCATCGATTCCACGCGCGTTGAATGGGTTGGGTTCTTCGCCAGGGTACTTGTTGGGTGCCTTCTCTTCTCTTAGTTGTTTGGGGGGGGGTCGGGGTATCACAGGAAACCTGGCCCCAAGACATGTTCGTCTTGCTTTGTACACGTTGGGATGTATTGTCGTTCCCCCATCCACGTGCCGCACTCATCCCTCCAGCCTCTCTATACCTCCCTCCCTCCCTCATCCATCTCTGGATGGTCTCTGGAGGCTGTCCTCGGCGGCTGCCAGAGATTATTTCAATATGGAGTCCTGTAATAAGGATTCCTGCAGTAGGGATTCCACAACCCTGCGGGCCATCGGATGCTCACTCCCTCGCACAACAATCGCGTCTCGGCGCCTTCCCTATCTTCCCTCCTCTCCTCCTCCTCCTCCGCCTCCTCCTCCTCCTCCCCCTCCTCCTCCTCCTCATCCTCCTCCTCCTCCTCTTCCTCCTTCTCCTCATCCTCCTTCTCATCCTCCTCCGCCTTCTCCTCCTCCTCTTCCTCCTCCTCCCCCTCCTCCAGCCAACCCTCCGATCACCAATATCAGCAGCATCACCATTACCACCACCATCATCATAACCACCATAAGCAGCAAACGCACCGACAGCATCGGCATCGTAACCACATCGCCATCATCGGCAGCGACGTTTGTCATGACTCGGTTCTCCATGCTCCGTACCTAGAGGCCTCCTGGATGGGGTCAGAGTAGATGGGGTCGGAGGATCGCGCCGCATCGCCGATGCATCGGCGATGCATCGCCGATGCATTGGGCAATGCATCGACGACGTCGGCTCCACGGACCCCATCTACTCCGACCCTATCTAGGAGGCCTAGAGCACCCTCTCACGCCAACTCGAAATCCGATCCCTCTCCTCTGAGGGGCAACAACAAGGGTGGGGGACTGGCAAAGGGGGGGCGTACATCGACCTTGAATCGGCGGTACATCGGTGATGGGCCCCCAATAGCAGCTCTGCACGCTCCTGACCAGGGGAGGACTATCAGACCCCTATCGGCGATCAAAAGATCGATTGGGGGGTCGATGCATCCCCCCCTGAGCCTGTACCCCCCCCCTATCCTTGCTCCTGATCCTCCTTCGCCTCCTGCTTGTCCTCCTCGTCATGCTCCTCGTCCTCTTCGTCTGAACTTCGCGGCCCGCCGCTCCACCCGACCCAAGACCTCATGCGCCCGGCGGGCTCCTTCAGGTCCCTGTGCAGCACGTTGTTGCTGTGCAGGTACTCGAGCCCCCTCATGAGACACAGTGGAGATCCATTCACTATCCTCCCTCTTCCCTCTTTCCTCAATCTGCCGTCCCTCCCTCCTCCCTCCTCCCTCCCTCCCTCCCTCCCTCCCTCATTCCTCCCACCCTCCCTTCCTCCGTAGCCTTAGGTCGGGCATGTCCCCCTACAGGCGGATTCGGGACGAACATTAAAACATACCCCAAAAATACCCCCAAGATAATCAAAAATGGTCGAACAATCGTCCCCAGACGACTTTCAACTATTCTTGAATATCCCTTCTGCAGAGGTACAGGCCCGACTTAACCGTAGCCACTTCTGGCTCAATGGTGGCGGGCTCGACCCCACAACCGCGTCCGCGGCACACATCTGGAGGGCAGCTGCCAGGCCTGCAGCGCCATGAATGCACTCCACGCTGGCCTGGCGCTGCGGGCACGGTAGGTTCGCGCGGCGCCGGCGCGCGCAAGGGCTTGTGACACCGCGTCGATCGCTCAAACTTGAATCGATCGCGGCCCCGATCGTTCGAGGTGGGATTCGGTCGGGTCCACTGGCGCTACCGTGCCCATCGGTGCTTCCGCGTCGCAGAATTCAACTTTGAACGCCTTTCGAGGGTGGCCAAGAGGGGGGCGTCCAAGAGGGGGTGGCGCAAATCATGGCCGGCGGCATGTGCGCGGCCCAATTGGGGGGCCAGAAACGTCATGAAATAAGCAGGGGCGCCATGAAATCTGAGGAAATATCATGGCCCACGCCATGATATCCACCCCCCTAATCATCACCTCCCTCTTTTGAGCAGGGACCGACCGTCCCGGCATTCCTATAGGCCTACCACGAAATGTTTTTAGAACCCAAAAATGTTCTTGGAACCAAAACCATGTTCTTAGAACATCAACCCGACGTGTTAAAACAAGACAGACTCCGCCAGAACTGGTCTAAGAACATTCCGTGGGAACCCAAAAAGGTTCTTAGAACATGAGTTGGTAGGCCTATAGACACGCCAGGAAGCTTCGGCACCAATTGGGTCGACGCCGCGTGAACCTACTGTACACCGGCTCCGGGACCGGGGTGTGCTCGAGCAGCTCGAGGGCGCGCTCGGGGGCGGCCGCTCGGGGGTCTCGCAGGCAACCGTTCGCGCGGCTTCACAGGAGTGGGGCCTTGTCGCGCCCAGGTCCGCCGAGGCGGCATCCGAGGGGCGGCATCCGTATGGTGGTGGATGCCATGGCAGTGGACACCCTAACGACCCTACCATGGAATCAAAAGTGTGTCTAAGACATTTGACACAAAAACTGTCTGAAAATGGTTGAAACACGTTTGTTTCTACAAATGTTCAGCACATGTTTAACACAGAAGTTTAGACATCTGGAGATTATTTGGCAATATGCTTCCTCTCCATTGATCGTCATCCACAACCTTACGGAGCAGACGATGCTCCCGTACCTCTCGGCGTTCGGCGTCCCCGAGGCGCAGGAGGCCAGGTCGGACGTGCGCGGCGGCGCGAGGCAGGGGGGCGGTAAGGACCCTCCAGGTGGAGCTGGGCTCGATGGAGGCGTGGCGGGCTGCCAGGTGCAACTGCAGACGGTGCCGATCCTCCAGGTGTCGCTGCACCTTGTCGGCACGCCGTTCCAGATGCAGCTGCTGCCCATGCAGGCCCTCCACGAAGCCGCGCACGCTTGAGATCGCGGAAGACTTCCGGGTGCAGCTGATCGCGCCGGCGCCCCGGGTGAAGCTGATCACGATGGAGACCGCGAAGGGCTTCCAGGCGCAGCTGGCCGTGAGGCCGTGGTGGGCAGCAAGCTGTGCAGCGACGTCGGGGAGCAGCACGCGCTGCCTGATGCGTCGGGCACGGCTGCAGCAAAGGCCCTCCCTCCCTCCCTCCCTCCCTCTCTCCCACCCGCTGCCGCACCCCTTGCGGCGGAGCCCTTGGCAGCTGGAGCATCGGCGGCTGGCAGGGCGGCGGTGGCATCTGCGGCGGGGGCTCCAGTGGCTGGGGTGCCACTGGCGGCGGCCTCAGTGGGGGCTCCATGCGATGCCCAGTGCGGGTGTCGGAAGGAGAGCTCAAGGCCTGGGCCAGGGAGCTCAAGGACACCAAGCATATCAAGGGCGTCGTAAGCACGGGCGAGATTGCCGACGACAAGTCGGGAGCGGACCTGGGAGCCGACCGATCGCGAGTCGTTGGCCCACCAGGCGGATGAGGTGGAGAGCTTGCCACCAGACATGATTGAACTTGTCGAGCTGCAGGCGTTCCTCGGAGTGGCGGCGCGCGGCCTTTCAGGCTAGTGTTTCTAAGCAGTCCTGCAGGCTATCTCGTCAAAGATCCGCTCGGGCAAGAAAATGCCAGCGACCCCGCCGAGGGCCTGGGCATCCCTGGTACCGAAACATGTCGTGCTGCAGATGCTTATTTTTCTCATCACGTGGCCTGACAGTGGTACACCATCATGTTGGCTGTCGACTCCGAGCGAGGACTCGGAACCCACCGCAGGCGCGTGCGCGGGGGGCTTGTGCTTGGGCATGGCTGCCTGTCTTCACGGGCCCGCGCGCCTCGCGGTCCCAGGAACCCTCTGGCTCCCGGGCCTCCTGGGCCCGGGGGGGGTCTGGGGCCCTCGTGCTCCGTGGGGCTCCTGCTTGCCATCGCTCGAACGCCCAGCTCCCGTGCATTTGTCGGTGTCGTGCGTGCTTTCTTTCCGAAATGCTCCAGGGTGCGCCTTGCCGGTCCTCTCCGAGAAAACATGCACCACGTCCGAGCGATGCCGAGCTCTGGTCTCGGGCTCCCTCAGGTCGGGCCGTCCCCGCCGGGGCGGGGCGTGCGCCCTCTGAGACCTCCCTGTTTCTGGGGTCTCGGGTGGCGCTCGCGTCTGTCGGGTGCCCGCGCTGTGGGCCGCTGCGCGCCGCCGCGCGCAGCCAGGCCGCGCCCCGAGCCCGCCACACGGTGCGCTGGGGCGGGCTCCCCGCCCCCATGGCCCCTTGTCCAATCCCAGGAGCGAGTATGGCACTGGGGGGGGGGGGGGGCAAACCTCCCGCCTCCCTGCCTCCTCCTCCCTCCCTCCCTACCTCCCCCTCCCTCTCTCCCTCCTCCTCACTCCCCCCCCTCGCTCATCATCCCTCCCTTGCTCAGGGAGGTTCCTCCCGACCTCTCATCCCACCATCCATCTGCTTCCCCTGCAATGTTTCAAGATGGGGCTATCGCTTGAATGGCAGACGGCCCGCAGGGTGTTCGTCTTTCATCGGAACGCTTCTTGTTATGAGTAAAGGCCGCCAGCGACTCAGGAGGGGACTCAGAACAGGACACCTACTGCACCATCGCAAGCGCATCCTGGGCTCACTCTGATCCTCCTCCAACTCCTCCTCCTCCTCCTCCTCCTTCTTACTTCTCCTCCTCCTCTTCCTCATATTCCTCCTCTTCATCCACTGTTTCTTCCTGCTCCTCCTCCTCCTCCTCCTCCACCACCACCTCCTCCGCCTCCCCTTCCTCCTCCTCCTCCTCCACAACCTCCTCCTCCTCCTCCTCCTCCTCCTTCTCCGCCTCCTCCTCCTCCTCCTCCTCCTCCTCCTCTCCTCCGCCTCCTCCTCCTCCCTCCTCTCCCTCCTCTCCTCCCCTACTCCTCTCCTCCTCCTCCACCTCCTCCCTCCTCCTCCTCCTTCCCTCCTCTTCCCACTCCTCACCTCCCCCTCCTCCTCCCCCTCCTCCTCTCCTCCTCCTTTTCCTACTCCTCCTCCCCTCCCCCGCCTCCTCCTCATCCCTCTCTCTCCACTCCTCCCCAGACCCCTCCCCGTCCTCCTTATCATCGTCGTCCTCTTCGTTTTCGTGTGCGTCTTCTCATTCGTATGAATCATACTAACGCGTGACTCTTGTCTGATTTTCAGTATCCGTAAGTTTGTCGTTGGTGCTGGTACTAGTTGTGTTACTATGTTCTTAATACCACTAACATCACGAGTCGTGTTGTTAGTATGACTCGTAGTCGCGATCAAATATTAGCCCTATTATCAGTAGGATCCGTACTCGTCTCATTCGTATCACCATTATGTGTGATAGTAGTCATAGTAACGTTCTTCATATTCGTAGTCATAGTATCATGCTTCTGATCAGTTCTACTACTATGATTACGATGCTTAGTCACATTATTATCCCTCCTCCTCCTCCTCCTCCTCCTCTTCCTCCTCCTCCTCCTCCTCCTCCTCCTCCTCCTCCTCCTCCTATTCACACTCATCCTCCTAATTACTCCTGGTTCCAACTCCACAATTACTCAATATGAATACTACTCTCCCTCTTCCCCTGATGACTTCCTGGCAATATGCGCCCCCCCCCCCCCCCCCGCGCGTACTGCTTTTTTACATACAGGCTTCCCCGGAGCTGGGTTTTCGCTAGCATTCTTGTTCCAAAATTCGGGGAGACGTAAGACCCGGGTACGGGGGACTCGGAAACCCCCGACGAGGTCGTCAAAAAAATGACGAGGCCGAGCCTGCATCTTGACGAGGCCTCCCGCTGCAGACATCCCACAAAACTCCTCCTCGTCCAAATCCGAGCCGCGGTCGTCCAAAAACGATGGCGAACCCGAGTCCTGGCAAACCCCGGGTCTTACGCTCCCCCGGAAAATGCCGCTCTCGCGGAGGCGCCGGCATCATCCTTCTCGGGCCCCGCTCTCCCGCATGCAGCGATGGCATTATTTCTCCGCCGGCGCCCGGCCATGCCATGCCCGAGCCGGCGCCCGGGCCCGGCGCTCGCGCCGGGCCCCGGGCCGCTTCCGGCCGGCGCCGGAAAATCGAGTTCCCAGGCGGCGCCGAAGAAAGGCCATTCCAATACACAGTTGTCTTTGAAAAAAGATGCGGAATTTCTGCTGCCGGCGCCCGGGAGGCCTCCCGGGCCGATTCCGACGCCCGGGCCGGACGCCCGAGCCGGCGCCCGGGCCGGCGCCCGGGCCGGGTCCGGGGCCGGTTCCGGCCAGCGCCGGAAAATCGAGTTCCGAGGCGGCGCCGAAAAAAGGCCATTCCAATACAATTTTTTCTTTTGAAAATGATGAATGTCTGTTTCTGGCGCCCGGGAAGCCTTCCCCAAGTTACGTTTTCGCCTGCAATTTTTCCCAAAATGCTGCTCTCGCTGAGGCGCCGGCCTCATTTTCGGGCCCCGCTCGTTCCGAATCGTGCTCTCGCTGCAGCGCTGGCCTCATTTCCGTGCTTCCGCTCGTTCCGAATCGTGCTCCCGCTGCAGCGCTGGCCTCATTTCCGCGCTTCCGCTCGTTTCGACTCGTGCTCCCGCTGCAGCGCCGGCGTCATTTCCCGTGCCATGCCACGACATGCGATGCAATGCTAGGTTGATACTACGCTTCGCGGTGCTCTTCTACGCCATGCCACGCCGTGCTCTACAATGCATCGTGTACCATTTCGGGATCATCGCCCTGCTTGACATCCGACTGTGCGAGTAGAGAGGGGATCTGCGCCATGGTAAGGGATGGGAGGGAGGGGTAGGATGTCAGATATGACGCGAGCGCACCTAGCTTGCCTTCCTCCCCTCCCTCCCCTCCCTCCCCTCCCTCCGCTCCCTCCGCGTCCTCTCCCTCCCCGCCCTCCTGGCCAGATACCACCCCGTCGGCTCGCGCGCGCACCAAGGGGCGGGCGGGAGGCGCGCGGAGCCCTGGACGCACCGACGCGCTGCGCGGCACCCGCCCGGAGGCGGGCGAGTCCAGCGGAGGAGAGGGCGGGGAGGACGAGGAGGGCCAGCGGGGGGCGGGGAGGACCAGGGGAACCAGGAGGACGAGGAGGGCGAGGAGGGCGGGGAGGGCGAGGAGGGCGGGGAGGACGAGCAGAGCGGGGGGGCGGGGAGGTCGAGGAGGGCCAGCGTCATTGCATCGGCCTTGCCGACGTGCTGCAGCGGATTTCTGCGTGGGCTTCTGCGTGGATGCTTGCCCCCGAAACGGCGAGCGAAAAACGGAGCGAATTTCGAGTGGATGATTTTGGACTTCATTCCTGGCCAGCAAAACATCCGTGCGAGATTCACCTGGAAATTCGGAACGAACTTCTCCAGGACACTCCGGGCCAACAATCTCGTTTTCCGAGCAAAATCCGCTCTGCGATGTTGGCGCCATGACCAGCGGGGGGAACAGGACGACAGGGGAGCCAAGAATGACATACACATCAAAACTCGGAGTTCCGCGCGAATTTCTCGGACCCGCGGTGGGGCCCCCCGTCAGCGCCTGTGACACCGCCCCTGGCGCGCTCCGCGCGCCAAGGAGAAGGGTCCAGCGCGGATCCGAGAAATCCGCGCGGACCTCCGAGTTTGTCTGTTTACATCATTGTTCCGCGCCTGAGAGACGGGTCCAGCGCCGTCCAGAGAAATCCGCGCCGACCTACTCCTCCACCTCCTCCTCCTCCTCCTCCTCCTTCTCTTCCTCCTCCTCCTCCTCCTCCCCCTCCTTCTCCTCCTCCTCCGCCTCCTCCTCCTCCTCCTCCTCCTCCTCCTCCTCCTCCTCCCCCTCCTTCTCCTCCTGCTCCTCCTCCTCCTCCTCCTCCTCCCTCCGAGGAGGAAGGGGAGGACGACGACAACGATGATGACCCAGGCATGTGGCGAATGTCTCATCTTTACTCAAAGTGCAGAACAGCCGAGGCATGTCACAGAGGCAAGACTGGCTCCTGGTTACAATCGTCGGCGTCTGGGAGGCGCAGCCACAAGTATGCGGCTACAGACGGGGGTGCGGGCTAGCACAGTGGCCCTAGAGATACGAACTCCAACTCACATTCAGCGACAATCAGAGAGGCCACCGATGCTGAAGGACATAACAGGCGATGGGTTTCTTGAGCTCGTTCTGGCCGCTGCGGCATAGTCAAGGAGACCGTTGGTGTCAGGCCCCTCGGAGAAGAGGATACCAGTAGCTGGAGATGCCGCGATGAGCGAACCAGGGCGAGGAGCAGGAAGGACGTGGAGAATGCGACCATCGTGAACCGCCAATGCTCCATGTTTGCTCTCGACCATCTGCGTGATGCAAACACCAAGTCGTGCAACGACTCCATCTCAAGCGGGACACGAACATATTGGGGTAACTCCGCTGCCACAGAGACAGCAATGCAACGTCCCTGCGAAGGTTGAACATCGTGCTTCGACGATGAAGAGCAAGAACATCAAATAAACCACCATCCACCATGCACATACCTAAAATGACGTTCAACATTGTACGAATTGTTGGAACCTATTTGATACATATCCACCCGCATAGTGCCAATTATCGACGAAGTAGTTAACCGTAGATCTGTCCATCTCAGCTTAGACGGCGAATTCGTCTCCCGATGTATTCCCTGAGCATGTTTCGGCCAGGTTCTCGACTGCCTGGCGCGGTGCATGAAAGCACCACGTTGGGTCATCTACGGTGCCGTTGGCGGTCACTGCAAGCGCCCCAATGAAGCGTCAGTGCAACGCTTGCAATCTCGCTTGTGAGACGACCGATCACAAGGGTGAGCCATGGGTAGAGGGGGATGAGGTGGAGGAGTCGGCAACTGAATCACAGTTCGACAGATGCTGCCAAAATCACTTGGAACGGGTACACGTTCGATGCGAGACTGAAGCCGCTGTCTACGCCGTTTATGCACGCTGCTGGAAAAAGGCACGTCAGACGAGAGGGAGGAATACGACGATGCCGACGATGACGATGACAACTGTGAGGAGGACGAGTGCATCCAAAAAAACATCACAGCACCTCTAAATAGCTAAAACAGTATGAAACTCCTCCTCCTCCTCCTCATCATCACCCTCATCCTCCTCCCCATCCTCCTCCTCGTCATCGTTCTCCTTATCCTTATCCTCCTCCTCCTCCTCCGCCTCCTCCTCCTCCTACTCCTCCTCCCCTCATTCTGCACACACGCCTCCTCGCATTGCGTCTCTTCCTCCCTCGCTCTCCCCCTCCCTTCCAAAGAATGAGGGGGATCATCCCCCAGTGAGTTTGAAATAAACCCGTCCTCAATCCGTGCAGCTGATACACACATGTGCCAGGCAAGAGGTGTCAGGCAAGAGATCCATACTGTAGCCGAAGCAAGCTTTTAAGACGAATGCGCTCGGCGCCAACAGAAGAGTGCCAGTTTGAACATGGTCCGCATCCATCATTGTAGCGTCTGTAGGCGGTTCCGACCGATGCTTGCGTCGCTGAAGCGAGAGCCCCATTGTGAAAACCAGCCGCACTCCATCCATGGACATACTGGAAGGAGTAAGGAGGATGTGCGCGGAATTCAGGCATGAATCCGAGGTCTAGAAGGTGTTTATGTACACTACACGTGTAACGGCTGCAAGCGTTTGAAACAACTGTGCGTGGCCGCATGAAGTGTCAAAGATCTACCCTCCATCCCTGAATACGTTTGCAAGTAAAACGGTATGATCATAGATGGTGGGGATGCGAAGTCGAAATGCCTGACCCGCCCTTCCGACGAACCTGGTGGCGCCACAGAGAAGATTCATTCATAATGGCAAGGGATGGAGGGTGAAGCCTGGTGGAGGAGGACAAGAAAGTACAGGGGGACAGGTGGATTGAGGGAGGATAGGAGGGAGGAAAAGGACGGAAGTCAGAGGCAGCAGGAGAAGGCAGGAGGAGAAGAAGGATGATGATTAAGAGACGTTGACAGATTGTGAGTTCCGTTGCTGTGGGCATCGCATCCCCACCCACCCCAGGAGGCTGAAAAGGAAGAGGACACGGAGGAGGAGGAGGAGGAGGAGGAGGAGGAGCAGGAGGTGGAGGAGGAGGAGGCGGACATCCTTGAGGAGGAGGCAGAGGAGGAGAAGGAGAAGACAGGGAAAGAGGAGCGGAAGCCTGAGGAGGAGGAGGAGGAGGAGGAGGAGGAGGAGCGGAGGCCTGAGGATCTCGCGGGCCACCTTGCAGCAGAGGTCCTCCTGGAACTGCCCGTACTCGGTCAGCTTGTCCTGCGTCGGCCGCCCCTGCCCTCGCCGACGGGGGGCCGCCGATCCCCCCCGGCATCAGCACGGGAAGCGACGGAGAGGAGCGGAGGGATGGGGCGGAGAGGGGGGGGGGAGGGGGAGGGGCGACGAAGGAGGGGGGGGGAGAGGAGAGGAGGGATGGGGCGTAGACTCTACGCCCCACCCCTCCTCTCCTCTACGGGGGAGGGGGAGGGGCGACGAAGGAGGGGGGGGGAGGAGAGGAGAGGAGGGATGGGGCGTAGACTCTACGCCCCACCCCTCCTCTCCTCTACGGGGGAGGGGGAGGGGCGACGAAGGAGGGGGGGGGAGGAGAGGAGAGGAGGGATGGGGCGTAGACTCTACGCCCCACCCCTCCTCTCCTCTACGCCGTAGAGGTGCGATGTGCCGCACGCACGTGGAAGCGCCGACGCTGATTTACCCCGCGGCGGTATCCAAGCTCCCGCAGCATTGTTTCGCCGCGGTCGCCCTGCGGATTTCCCAGGACGGGCGCGGGGACTATCTCAGAGTCGCAGAGGGTTCTCATTAGAGCCTTGACAGAGGAGGGGCGACGAAGGAGGGGAGGGAGGAAGGGAAATTGCTGTTTTGCCACCCGTGGTTGGAGGGTGCCTGGCAGCTCCGTGTGGAGGGCGGCGCCCCGTGGCCGCCAAGCAGCAGCCGGGGGGCCGCGACTGAAACCTCTTGCCGCCCGGGAATGCCCTGGCAAGGTGCCGCGCTCCAGGAGCCGGAGACTGTTCTGGCCCGCCCTGGACGCAGGTCAGCACGGCCCCACCACCTCTGGAAGGGCCCCGCTCACTCGGGCAGCACGGGGCCCACCCACGGGCGGCGCAGACAAAAAAAAAAAGCAGGACCCGGCAATGGCCTCGGGCGGACTGGCTCGGGTGGCTCACCCGGTCCGCTACTCTCGGAACCAAGAGGTACCTCAAAAGAATCAGCTCGCACCTCGCCATGTGCCGCAGAGCACGGCTGTCCAATATCTGCGGGAGGGAGGGACTTGGGTGAAGAGGGCAGGGTACAGCCAGGCCAGGGGCAAAACAACATCCTTCAGGTACACGAGGCCCTCGGCCAGCCAAACTGAGGAACCGTCGAGGGTCACTCTCCCCAAGGATGCACAAGAACATCCGACAAAGCGAAGACCGAGTACATTCCCCGAACCAGCATCGATCTTATACTTCGGTCCGACCGTAGAGGAGACTCAGGGCGAGGAGAAGGAGGAGGAGGAGGAGGAGGAGGAGGAAGAAGGTGAAGAGGAGAGGCAGAACGGGAAGATGGAGAGCACGGGAAGGAGAACAGGACGACGACGACGACGACGACGACGACGACGACGACGACGACGAGAGCAAGCAGGACGGGGAGACGGGCGGGGAGCAGGAGAAGAGACAGGGGGGAGGAGGGGGAGGAGGGGGAGGAGGAGGAGGAGAAGGAGGAGGAGGAGGAGGAGGAGGAGGAGGAGGAGGGGGGGGATGAGGAGGGGGAGGGGGAGGAGAATGCGCCCCTGGCTCTGCGCCGCCTCGCCATCGCCCTCCCTCTTCCCGACGCCTCCCGCCGTCGCGGGCCTCGCGCTTCCCCCAAACTGGCAGAGTTCCCATGCCAGCTCCACCTCCATTCCTTATGCTTCTGCCCTCCTCAACCCCCTCTTAAAGGAGCCCAGGGACACACAAATGAATAGACACAAATCCGAGGATTCCCCATATGTTCTTATACTTCCTTGGTGTTGGCCTTCATCCCCCACTTCGCACATGTTCCCATCATGTTCTTGGGAATCGGCGATAAATTGTGTCTGTGTGTGTTTTTCCCCCTCCTGACCCTCTTACCTTAAGAGGCAACTACTGGGAGGTTTACGTCAGAAGGATTGGCGAGAATTGAGCGCTATTGGGGGGCTGCTACGCTGAATTGGGCCGCGGATCCAGCGGGACGAAGCCGGATAGAGCGCGATGAAGCCGGAGTCAGCCGGGCTTCGGACCATGTTGGAACAAATTAGAATTCGACCTCTCGGGAGTCTCGTCCCCCACGCTGTGTAGACTGTGGAGCAGCCGATTAGGATACAGGGTATGAATGGCCTCACATGCGATTCGCATGCCATAACAAAATGAACGAACCCCATCCATCTACGCATCATCATCCTCATCAATCATGACATCACATCATGAATGAATGCAAGCAAGCGCCCATGCATGGTACCGAGACGCCCCCGAGATACATCTGCACTGCTTCACAACTCAGTACCTGACCCCCGCGAACAAAAACATGGGTTCGACAAAGAACGTAACACGTAACCAACGTACAACTGTTCGACACATCATTCAGAGTTGCGACATAACGTATCCGCAATCCAACTACGCTTGACAACAGTACACCGCGCACAGTTGCTTCACAACTGAAGCAAACTTCGGCAGAACGTGGACACGATTCAGACTGTTCAAGAATAACGAAACATGTTTCACCATTGATGTATCAGTGCGACCTCCGAGCAACGGACACGAATAGCCGACCCGCACTTTGACTGCACTGAGTTCGAATATGAGTGCCCATTGACCCATATCCAAATCATGCAGCGAAGCCATGGCACCACGGCACCGCGACTACGCGACACAACAAAAGTTGACTCACAACGTATGCACATTTGACTCACACTCGAATAACGACCAAGTCGCAACTTGCTGACACGGGGTCCACGATTGGACCAATTCAACGGCATACAAGACACAATATGTTCACATGCGTTAATTCACAATGGAACCGTCACTCGCTAACAGTGGATTCACCACCGCTTCACTTCATTCGCAACTGTTTTCGTCGTTCGTCGTCGTTGCCGTCGCCGTCGTTGCTTCCCAGCGTCGGCGACCGCCGTCGTCGTTTGCCAGCGGCAAGCGGGGGAAGAACGGGGGGGAAGGAGAGGGACCCCCCCCTCAAAAAGGAAACATAAGGAGAGCGTTCTTTCCGACATCACGACGCCGCCACACCGTGGCACATGGCACCGACGACACCGCCGCATCTCGACACTTCATACATTATTGACCACCATCGACTCAAATTTGTGGGGAATACAAAACGTACAGATACCGCTACTCACCAGACCTCTCCCGAGGTGCGTTCTGACCAGGATTTCGAGCCAAATCCAGCGGTGGCAACGAGGGCCTCCAAGGAGGCCCAACATGGCGACAACGAGGCAAGGGCAGCGCATCAAAATACTGACCACCATCGACTCGAGCTTGGACCACCCCTGCGTCAACATTGATTCGCAACGCACTCACCTTGGACTCGGAACGGATGCGCCTCTGACCTTATGTTTCCCCCATCGTACTTAAGGACCAGGTCCCCAAAATAACTTCGAGCACACAGACAAGTATCGAAACAGTGTCGAATGAGTATCGCCTCCCAGAGCCCGACACGTGAACCCCCCCCGTTTCGGCATTTTCTTTCGAGGACGGCGAGAAGGTCTGGTTCAAGAAGGGTGATTTCGACGGCTGCTGGGGCGCCTCAGGTCGCGCTGGAGTGCCTAAGGTCGGGCTTGAGGGACCTCGAGCCCAGCGAAACCAACCTTGTCCAACGAACCCTTCTGGCAGCCTCCGATCCTTGGTGCCCGAAATTCTTTCTGGTGGCTCAGGCTAAAATAGGTTGGAACATCACAACGCTGATCGGGGATCTTCTGACCCGGGTCAATCCAGACCCGGGTCAGCAGGAAACCAAAAACTGCAATGCAGGGAAAAAAAACTGCAACGCAGGTCCTCGCAAACACGGGTCAGCCAATAGGCGCGGCCGCCTCGCGGCCACGAACGGCTCCCTAACCCGGGTCAGCCAGAGGGGGTCTTTGCCGGATCCTGCAAGATCCGGCGCCGTGGCTGACCCCTGTTTGCATTGACCCCCGTCTCAAGGCTCCCGAGCTGACCCAACGGGGCGCTCCGCCGGCCCTGCGCACCGCCGCTCTCTCGCGCATTCCCACGCACGCCGTGCACAGGACTCGACGAAGCACGGCACCGGCCCTCCCCAGCGGAGGGGCGGCTCCGCACCGCTGGCACCTCCACCACTCCATCCCCACAGGGAGAAGGAGGAGGAGGAGGAGGAGGAGGAGGAGGAGGAGGAGTAGGAGTAGGAGAAGGACGAAGAGGAGGAGGAGGAGGAGGAGGAGGAGGAGGGAGGAGGAGGAGGAGGAGGGAGGAGAGGAGGGGACAAAGAGGAGGAGGAGGAGGAGAAGGGACGAGGAGGAGGAGGAGGAGGAGGAGGAGGAGGGAGGGAAAGGAGGAGTCGACCTAAGTTCGCCTAACGTCAAAGCGGACGAGCGAACAACACACACAACCACACACACACCTATACCAATAGCAGGGTCGGAGGAAGCAGGACTGGCTGTGGGTATGGGTGCGGGTTGTCGACCCTTGGGGAGGCTCCACGTTCGAGCGGAGACAACCCATCCGAAAGCACGCACCCATGGCCCCCTCCGTCCCCCTGTGGGTACGGATGCGCGTTTTTCATTCGTCAGAAGAGGAGGAGGAGGAGGAGGAGGAGGAGGAGGAGGAGGAGGAGGAGGGGAGGAGGAGGAGGAGGGGGAGAGAGATAGGGGGAGGAGGAGAGGGAGGAGGAGGAGGAAGGAGGAGGAGGAGGAGGGAGGCGAGGAGGAGGAGGAGGAGGAGGAGCAGGAGGGGAGAGGAGGAGGAGGAGGAGGAGGAGGAGGAGGGGAGGAGGAGGAGGAGGAGGAGGAGGAGGAGGAGGAGGAGGAGGAGGAGGAGGAGGAGAGGAGGAGGAGGAGGAGGAGGAGGAGGAGGAGGAGGAGGGGAGGAGGAGGAGGAGGAGGAGGAGGAGGAGGAGAGGAGAGGGGGAGGAGGAGGAGGAGGAGGGGAGGAGGAGGAGGAGGAGGAGGAGGAGGAGGAGGAGGAGGAGGAGGAGGAAGGAGGAGGAGGAGGAGGAGGAGGAGGAGGAGGAGGAGGAGGAGGAGGAGGAGGAGGAGGAGGAGGAGGAGGAGGAGGAGGAGGAGGAGGAGGAGGAGGAAGAGGAGGAGGAGGAGAAGGAGGAGGGGGGGGAACAGGAGGCTTCTGGGACGCCAAGCCTCGAGCTCCGCGCAGCGCGAGGTGCGGCCGCCTCCCGCGCCCCGGCGGCGCCGCCCCCGAGCAGGGCAGCTCTACAGCCCAGGGCCGCGAGGCGCGGCTGCCTTCGCGCCCCCGCCCGTGACCACGGACGCCTCAGAGCGTGCCCCTTCAGACCCAATCACGTACAGCTTGGCATCGCTCGAACGTCCATTTCCCGTGCATTTGTCGGTTCCGTGCGTGCTCGAGAAAAAATGCACACGTCCGGGCGATGCCAAGACAGTGGAGGCCCACGCCAAGAATCACCCTGCTCGCCTCCAGGGTGCCCCCGGGCTTCTTGGGTTTCGATGGTTCTGCTATGGATCGCGTGACGTTCCGCACCAAAAAATCAAGGCGAAAACGAGGCAAGGGCAGCGCATTGTTGACCACCGTCGACTCGAGCTTGGACCACCCCTGCGTCAACATTGATTCGCAACGCACTCACCGTACCTTGCACTCGGAACGGATGCGCCTCTGACCTATGTCGAGCCCATCGTACTTAAGGGCCACAACCCAGAAATACTTTCGAACACCCAGGCAAATATCGAAACAATGTCGAACGAGTGTCGCCTCCCAGGGCCCGACCCGTGGAAATCCTTAAAACGTCGGTACTTTCGTGGTGCTCGAAGTTCTTTCTGGCGATCAGGGCTAAAGCAGGTTGGAACATCATAAAGTATGCCCCTCAAACCCTGTCATGTAGACGAAGCCAGGACGACGAGGACCAATTCGGGTGATAAATCGAGATTCTCTGCGATCCGGCGGCTCTGGAGGATGTCTCGGGCGCCGCGGCCTTCTCAGAGCGTTCCAGGCTCTGGGAGCGTTCCGGAACGCTCTGGAGCGGATTTATCCTCGTCTTAGTCCCTCCGAAAACCCTATCATGGCTCGTCCTTCCTCGTCTCCGCCTCCGTCTCCCTCACGCTGGCCGCAGGATGACCGAGGGTGCACAGCCGGCCGAGGCCAAGGAGTGGGGGGAGGGGAGTTGAAAAGATTGAAACAGGCGGACCGAGGGCGGCTCTGGGCAAACCACGACGCTCGCCTTGGCGCCACGGAGGGCTGGACGAGCCTAGCCCGAGCCGCCCCCGATGCCAGGCACGGGGCCTGCATCAGCACGTGGGACGCCGCAGGCAAAAAACACAAGAAACTACAACGAAGAGCGCGTTTCTTTATTTTCTGCGATACTGGGCATTTTAGGGAAGGGGGGGGAAGGGGCCGGGGGGGTATCATGTAACGCCTCCCCCCCGCCGTGTGCCCGATGCGCACGGCGGCAGTGCCCAGAGCGCACTGGGGGGGGAGGGGCGTTACGTTATAGGGGGGGCAAGCAATAAAGAAACACGCTCGAACATGGCTTGTCCACCCCCAGCCTTCTGAGAAATGTTCTAAGCCTTCCCCGAAGATACAATAAACCTCTCAGAACCCGGGAGGCCTTCTGAGAAGTCCCGCCGCCTTCTGAGAGGGCCTTCTATCTCTCACTGCCCGCCCTCGCTCGCCGCCGATTGTCCTTCAGGGACCCCTCTGGCATGTACTCCAGGAATATGTACACCTGCTCCCGGCTCGGCGCGCCCGGCCCCGAAGGGACGAGAGAGGATGGAGCTGCGGAGGGGTCGGCGGCCAAAAGAAGACGCCCGCGGTCCACACCGAGAGATTGCGGCCGCCCCGAAAGAGATTCCCGATCCAGCTGCAGTTGCCCAGCTCAACTACAACCAGCCCATCACAAACATTGGCAGCTGCTCTCTTCAACCACGCAAGCAGGCGTTTTCCGAAATTTCGAACTAGCTTATCTCACGGGTGATTGTGGCCATCGCGTTACACCGATATAGGCAGCATGTATGTGCGAGTACGGGTGAGCACGTACGTATGCGCCTGTACGTATGTGTGTGCGTATGTGCGAACGCCACATACGGACACCCAACCGTTCGGGCCGCACCATGCCGCATGGTGCGGGCACATCGGTCCCCCCCTTCTTCCCGCCAGCATAAGTAGAGACCTCCCCAATGAGGTCCGAGTATATGGGGCCGGAGGACAGCGCCGCATTGCTGATGCACTGTGGCGACGCATCGGCACCGTCGGCGACGCATCGGCGCCGTCGGCTCCGCATCGAGCCGCATCGTCAATGCATCGGCGATGCGGCGCGATCCTCCGACGCAACCTGCTTCGACCCAATGTGGGATTTCGACAGCGCCTGAGTGCCTCCACCGCCTCCTGTGAAAAACAATGAGGACTTTCTGGAAAGACAAGCTTCTGGGAAAATAAAAGGCTAACCCGCGGGCAAGTGAACAAACATGTCTCAGAAACATGCATCCCATCACGGCGGGCTCGGCAAAAACAGCCCACCAACTGGGCGAGGGAACAGTCTAGAGCAGTATCACCGATAGAAAGCGCGGTGGCCAACAGCAGTGACGCCAGAAGCAGCAGCAGCAGCAGCAACGACAGACAGATGGAAGGGGATGCAAAGCAAAGCCACGGCCCGGTTTCTAGTGGCTCCTCCCCCCGAGCACACACACACGCACTCGTTTGTTTGGCGATCACGGCCTCGCGCGCAGCGACGCGGCGGAGCAAGTCGAGCAAGCGGCACAGAACTAACGCGCGCGCGCGGCCAGGCCATCAGTCGCAGGACCACATTGGATCGACCGCTCATAAGCTACCCAGGCGTGGGTGGACACACACACACACACTAACACAAACACACTAACACAAACACACACACACACACACACACACACACACACGTGCGATCTGCCCGCACATCTGTCCAGCTCCCTTGCCGCAGGTGGCACCTGTTTCTCCTGCACCTCGTGCCCGTAGTAGCGGACGATGTGGGGATGGTCGAGGCTCCGATAGAGCTCGAGCTCCTGGATCTGGACTGGCCGAGCAACCGGTGGCATAACGCAGAGAGGGGGGAACAGCGCGAGCGATAGCTGCCTTTACCCAAGTAGCATGCAGGCACTGTCTGGCAGCAAGTCCCGCGTGGGCAAAGTATTCCCCGACCCTTGTCCAGAGTTTTTTGTCGCCCACCGCGGAAGAGGTTGTCTCCCACTACTGTGGCAGAGCCACTCGATCGACATTGCAGCCGGCGCCTGACAATGCCAAATTGCTTCGCCCAAAGGCAACATGCATTGTCGCGCGCGCTGTATCCAACAGACAGACACGTGGGGCCGAAGGGGAAAGCCACCGACATGGAGACCTCCCGAATTGTCTGAATTGATCGCCCAGCGGATCTCCCCCCCACGGCTTCGGGCTAACTTATCCAGACCCACGAGCGGACCCAGGGGAACTGAGAAAGCCTCCCCAAAACCTTAGCAGCCCTGGCCCCCACGGGCCTGTGGAGCGCCCACGCGTCGAGACACGTCGCGCCCTGGCGCGCCCCAGAGGATCCCATGGCAAGGCAAACCAAAAAAGAAACCATGTGCAGATATGTATACCCGAAGTCATTCCACGTCGACCGCAACTCCCACACTCGCGCGCAGGAGCAACCGTTTCTGCTCCACACGCCCCAGCAGAATGACGAGCCCCAGCTCCAAACAAATAGGACCTTAGTCTGGCGAGTTGCTCCCTCCTGCCCCCCAACGAGGTGCGCCAACGTTTGAACCAAGGGCTCACGCGCGAGTCAAAAAGATACACTGCGCAACCTACCGAAATTGTCCCTCGGACGAGGGTCGGGATAAGTATTGCGTTGCGGAGGTTCAAGCCCTCGGTGACGAGGGGCTGACTATCTTACCTCACGGCGCTCTTCAATCGCACGTCTCAGACGAGGACGAAGTATCGACACACGACCTCGTGTAAACAGCTCTAGTTAATCCTACATGTACCATGCCAGCGCATGCCAGGCAGTCGTGTCGCCAACCAGCAATCACCACACGTACATCTCGGAAGTGGGTCTGGTAGGAGCGAGGTGATGTCTGCTAGGCCAGGGAGGCGCGAGACCAAATACCACTAAATGGGACTACGACGGAACGAAAGGGAGGACAAGGGTTTCCAGTCCAAGCAGACCAGCTGGATCACTCTGGAAAGCCAAGAGGTACCAACACCGCTGCTCCCAAAACCTCTCCCGGGCTGCGTTCTGATCAGGAATTCGAGGCGAATCCAGCGGTGGCGACGAGGTCCTCCCGGGAGGCATGAAAAAACAGAAAACGAGGGGGGTAGCGGTATGAATACCTGTTCCTCCTCTGAAGCTCTGGGGCCTCAGAGAGCCTGCCCGTGCGAATGGCGCGTGGGGCACCGCGGCAGTGCCAAGGAGCTCCAGAACGCTCTGATGATTACCCGCCAGTCGGAAGAAGTAGGTGGAAGCATGAAGTAGGAAGGCGGACAAAATGGACTGGGCTCGGGTCCGCCCAGCAGAATAACAACACGTAACAACATCATATCGATTAGTGATGTAGAAACGCGCGTGAAATGGATATGGGATCTGACCCATCCAGAAATAGTGATCTACTTTCAACAACTGGCGTGTACGGTCGGATCTAGGACAGCAGAGCATCCCCCAAGAACATGAGACCTTCCACTAGCCAAACTGAAGAGCACTCGAGTGCCCTCTCCCAGGAGGCACGAGAATATGCAGCAGACACGAAGAACATCAGGGCACCCTCCCCGAGCCGACCTCGATCTTATATCGGGGGGGGCGCCAGGGTGGGGCAGGTACAAAGGTGGGGCTGGTGGAAACACCGCTCTGAAGGCCCCTGGAAGAAGGCAACGCGTGAAACAGGAGCGTTGGGCTGGGCTCGCTCCCCAGCTACAGGCCTCCCAGATGGGGTCCGAGTAGGTGGGGTCGTAGGATCGCGCCGCATCGCCGATACGGCGCCGATACAGCAGCGATGCATCGGCGATGCATCGGCGATGCACTGGCGATGCATCGTCGACGTGGGCGATGCATCGGCAACGCCGACGTGAGGCAAATCGGGCCCCACATCGAGCCGCATCGGCGATGCACCGGCGATGCGGCTCGATCCTCCCACCCCATCTACTCCGACCCCATCTAGGAGGCCTAGACCAGCCCCACCTTGGGATAATCCTCCCTCTACGACCCCCCACACTTGAGCAGGGACCGACCGTTCTGGCATTATATAGGCCTACCACGACATGTTCTTAGAAGCCAAAATTGTTCGAAAAACAAAAACAACGTTCTTAGAACATAAACCCGATCTGCGAAAAAAAGACAGGCACAGGCAGAAATG